CAGAAAGAGGAGGGGAAGGGGGGGGGTGGAGAGGCAGGAAGGAGATCTGCCATCTAGATGTACACTGTAGCTGCATGCAATGGTACACAGGGAAATACAGGCAGACGGTGTTCAGACAGAACTAGGACACATGTATAGACAGAGAGAGCTATAGGATAGAGAGACAGGCAGACATAGCAATAGACGCGGAGCAAATAGGGGCAGGACACAGATCCAGAAGAAGCAGAGCACATGAATATGTAGAGGACAGACAGACACAGGACACACAGGCAACATTATGCACCAGGCACACACAGAACCCACATATACAGAGCATGGATATACGATGGACAGACAGAAACAGGGGACACAGGCAACATTATGCACCAGGCACACACAGGACCCACATATACAGAGCATGGATATACGATGGGCAGACAGACAGACACAAGACACACAGATGTAAAGAGAATAGTTATACGATGGGCAGACAGACACAGGACACAGAGGCATTAAAATGCACCAGACACACACAGGACCCACATATACAGGGCATGGATATACGATGGACGGGCAGACAGACAGACACACACAGGACCCACATATACAGGGCATGGATATACGATGGACGGGCAGACACACACAGATATAAAGAGAATATCCATCCATCCATCCATCCATCCATCTAATCTATCTAATCTAGCTGTTTATATAGATAGATTATTCATGCAGAGGGACAGACAGACAGCAAAACAAATATACAGCAAGGTCAATGAAGGTGTCTGCATGATCAGATGGTGCTGTAACCCATAGCAACCGCTCTGCTCTCCTCTGCCAGGCACAGCGATTGCTCCTTTCTGATTAGTGGCTTTGAGCACATCAATCCCCAGACAGCACAGTTGTCCTATAGATGCTGGGGATTGTAGTCCCCCAATAACCCAGGTTACTATCCATTGATATGTATAATCTTGGTGATGGTGCATTGTCAGAGGCTGCACACACCCAGTCTGATGGGAGCTTGGACGGCCCGGTCACCTGGTATTAAATGAAAACCTAATCTTTGTTAGTCATGTGCTGCAATCAGATCTGTATGATCCAGTGGCACGCGCCCTATCGGAGGCACAGGCCATGGCGGTGTCAGTGCTCCATATTGTTGTATTGCCTTGAGAGTATGTTTCTGCAAAACAGCTTAACCCCATCACTGCCTGTCAGCGTGTCTCCATTTCATGATGATTCTCCTTCTATGGGCTAGCTGTATTTTAGACAGTTGTTGAATAACTGTTGAAAGAAAAAATCAGTTGCCGGGTAGGCCACATAGAACAGTGCTGCAATTAGCCATACACAGTCACTGTTTATCATTGGCAGAACCTGAATATGTACTAAATGAAATACGCTGTCCAATTCTTTCTTTCTCTCTCTCTCTCTTCTCTTTTCTCTCTCTCTCTCTCTCTTCTCTTTTCTCTCTCTCTCTCTCTCTCTTCTCTTTTCTCTCTCTCTCTCTTCTCTTTTCTCTCTTCTCTTTCTCCTCTCTTCTCTTTCTCTCTTCTCTTTCTCTCTTCTCTTTCTCCTCTCTTCTCTTTCTCCTCTCTTTCTCTCTTCTCTTTCTCCTCTCTTCTCTTTCTCCTCTCTTCTCTTTCTCCTCTCTTCTTCTTCTCTCTCTCTTTCTCTCTTCTCTTTCTCTTTTCTCTCTCTCTTCTCTTTCTCCTCTCTTCTCTTTCTCCTCTCTTCTCTTTCTCCTCTCTTCTTCTCTCTCTCTCTCTCTCTCTCTTTCTCTCTTCTCTTTTCTCTCTTCTCTTTCTCACTTCTCTTTTCTCTCTCTCTTCTCTTTCTCCCCTCTTCTTCTCTCTTTCTCTCTTTCTCGCTTCTCTTTCTTGCTTCTCTTTTCTCTCTCTCTCTTCCCTTTCTCTCTTTCTCTCTTCTCTTCTCTTTCTCTCTCCTCTTTCTCTCTCCTCTTTCACTCTTCTTCTTTTCTCTCTCTCTCTCTTAATTTCACTCTTCTTCTTTTCTCTCTCTCTCTCTTAATTTCTCTCTTCTCTTTTCTCTCTCTCTTTCTCTCTTCTCTTTCTCTTTTCTCTCTCTCTTCTCTTTCTCCTCTCTTCTCTTTCTCCTCTCTTCTTCTCTCTCTCTCTCTCTCTCTCTCTTTCTCTCTTCTCTTTCTCACTTCTCTTTTCTCACTTCTCTTTTTTCTCTCTCCTCTCTTTCTCTCTCTCTCTTCTCTTTCCCTCTCCTCTTTCACACTTCTTCTTTTCTCTCTCTCTCTCTCTATTCCTTTCTCTATTCTCTCTTTCTTTCTCTTTCCTCTTTTCTCTCTCTCTTCTCTTTTCTCTCTTTCTCTCTCTTTCTCTTTTCTCTCTCTCTCTTCTCTTTCTCCTCTCTTCTCTTTCTGTCTTCTCTTTTCTCTCTCTTCTCTTTCGCTCTCTCTCTTCCTTTCCCTCTCCTCTTTCACTCTTCTTCTCTCTTTCTTTCTCTCTTCTCTTTTCTCTCTCCCTTCTCTTTCTGTCTTCTCTTTTCTCTCTCTCTCTGTCTTCTCTTTCTCTTCACTTTCTCCTCTCCTTTCTCTCTCTCTTCTATTTTCTCTCTCTTCTCTTTCTCCTCTCTTCTCTTTCTCTCTCTCTTTCCCTCTCCTCTTTCACTCTTCTTCTTCTCTCTCTCTCTCCTTTCTTTCTGTCTTTCTCTCTTCTTTCTCTCTCTCTCTTCTCTTTCTCCTCTCTTCTCTTTCTGTCTTCTCTTTTCTCTCTCTTCTCTTTCGCTCTCTCTCTTCCTTTCCCTCTCCTCTTTCACTCTTCTTCTTCTCTCTTTCTTTCACTCTTCTCTTTTCTTTCTCTCTTCTCTTTTCTCTCTCTCTTCTCTCTCTCTCTTCTCTTTCTCCTCTCTTCTCTTTCTGTCCTCCTTTCTCCTCTCTTCTCTTTCTATCTTCTCTTTTCTCTCTCTTCTCTTTCTCTCTCTCTCTTCCTTTCCCTCTTCTCTTTCTCTCTCTCTCTTCCTTTCCCTCTTCTCTCTCTCTTCTCTCTCTTCTCTTTACTCTCTCTCTTCTCTTTCTCCTCTCTTTCTCTCTTCTCTTTCTCCTCTCTCTCTTCTCTTTTCTCTCTCTCTTCTCTTTTTCCTCTCTTTCTCTCTTCTCTTTCTCCTCTCTCTCTCTTCTCTTTCTCTCTTCTCTCTCTCCCGTTCCCTCTCATTTTCTCTCTTCTCTTTGTCTCTTCTTCTCTCTCTCTTATCTTTGTCCTCTCTTCTCTTTCTCTCTCTTCCTTTCCCTCTCCTATTTCACTCTTATTCTTCTTCTCTCTCTCTCTCTCTCTCTTTCTTTCTCCCTTCTCTCTCTCTCTCTCTCTCGTCTCTTTCTCCTCTCTTCTCTCTCTCTTTTCTCTCTGCTCTTTCTCCTCTCTTCTCTTTCTTTCTTCTCCTTTTCTCTCTTCTCTTTCTATCTCTCTCTCTCTCTTCCTTTCCCTCTCCTCTTTCACTCTTCTTCTCTTTCTCCTCTCTCTTTCTGTGTCTTTCTCTCTCTCTTCTCTTTCTCTCTCTCTCCCGTTCCCTCTCTCTTCTTTTTCTCTCTTCTCTTTCTCCCCTTCTCTTTCTCCTCTTCTCTCTCTTCCGCTCCCTCTCTTCTTTCTTTCTTTCTTTCTTTCTTTCTTTCTTTCTTTCTTTCTTTCTTTCTTTCTTTCTTTCTTTCTCTCTCTCTTCTCTTTCTCCTCTCTTCCGCTCCCTCTCTCTCCTCTTTCTTTCCTTCATTGCTTCTTTCCTTTCTCTCTCTTTATCTCTATTGTCTTGCATCAAGTAGGAAACACAGCCTACATATGTAATGACTATCTATCTATCTATCTATCTATCTATCTATCTATCTATCTATCTATCTATCTATCTATCTATCTGTCTGTTTTTCTCTCCTCTCTCTCTCTCTCTCCCTCCTTCATTAGTGTCTGTGCTCCTCCCACAAGGCTCTGAGTTCATTGGACTCCCCAGTTATGCGAATCCCCACAGGGGAGGGTGACACCTTCACTAGGCCTAGTAACTGCCACAGCAGTTGGGTAAGGAGTGGGTTAGTTGGAGAAGGTAACTGAGTATGCTTTTCCTTCAGATTCCCTCATCTGCTACACAGCAACACCCCCAGGAAGATGGGGAAAGAGAAGACGCACATTAACATTGTGGTCATCGGCCACGTGGACTCCGGCAAATCCACCACCACCGGCCACCTGATCTACAAATGCGGAGGCATCGACAAGAGGACGATAGAGAAGTTCGAGAAGGAGGCGGCTGAGGTGAGGGCAAAGGGGAGAGGCGGAGACGTGGGCCCTGATTCATCATCCTGCAGTAAAGGCATCTTGAAGTGCACTTAAGGCATGCTAAAGTGTCCTCTTATCTAATGTTATTTTTGCCTTAAGTGCTTCTTGGCACATCTGTATTCCAGCTAAATGAATCAGGATCCTAATGTAGCTTGTCGGTTACCAAATGTAAAAACAAAACAAATGCTCTTATCCTACCTCATGCTCTCAATATGAGTTGCTCAGCTTTCATTTTTATCCTTTGACATTGCCACTTATTATTTTCACAAGTGGCAGTGCCCATATTTATCTAAGCACGGGTTTCCTTTAGGCCAGGGGGCGGCAACCTCGGCACCTCCAGCTGTGGTGGAACTACAAGCCTCAGTGAGGGATTGCAAGACTCTCATAGCCACAGGCACGGCCTGCCTTACCCTCCCAGTTATAGGAATACTGTGCTATAGGCAGATGAGAGTGACCCTGGACGGTAACCGGCAGGAATCACCCCCCCGCCGTTCATCCAAGACTGACTCAGCAGAGGCCCAGGAGAAGCCGGGATGCAAATGGCGGCGGCTCTCAGAGAAAGCGTTGTGTTCTAGAGATCTCCGCGCCCGGCCGCAGTGATCAACAGAAGCAGCTGGGTGCGGAGAGAGCCGCCGCTTGCCAGGTTTAATTATAGCCGAGCTGGAAGGCTCCATTCGCTGAGCGCCTCGCAGAGGGCACACTGTCCTATCAGCTACGCACACAGCTAGGGAACGCGAGACAAGCCGATGCGCCGGGGGTATCGGTGACCTTAACCCCTTAACGGGCACCGAGCTCGCTCGGACCGCCGAGAACACCGCGCCCTCTGTTATATTATTGTCTGTATGGGTTAAAATGAACAATCGCCCTTTGTAGATGGGAAAGGGAACCAGAAACCAGTCTTGTGTCCTGGTTTTTATATATTCTGAAAAGTCCAAACTGATATAAGAAACATTGTATAAATGTTTAGATATATATATATATATATCTCTAAACATACATGCACATGCTGCATATATAATGTGTATACATGGCTCCCCAATGGAGACTCCATGTGGGTCATGTGACATGCTTGAGGTCACCTGAACGGGAGCACCATGCAATGGTCTGTATGCAAACAAAAGGGCAGATTTTAGTCTAACCCCCCCTCTTGACTTCTATTATGGAATTTTTCTGAAATAGACTTGAGCTGAAGTTAAACTTTCACTTTAAGAGCATTAAAATCTATTAACATGTAACAGTTTTGGATACAAAGTTTGCAGGTGATGCCGAGCAGCAATGCATCATGGGAGTACTCTACAGACATAGGCTATTACTGGTCTGTATCTATCCTAACCAACCTCACATGGTATCCTGGAGTGATATCAAAATCTGGACGACATGATTCTCCTGGTAACATGAATGGCAATCATTCCTATTGCCCTCAGGCTCCAATCTGATTCAATGCAATGGAAGACGAAAGGCTGACTGCGATTGGTTGGTTGGTTGGTCATTCTTTCAGATACTTTGAGATGGAAAAGTATATAAGTGTATATATATACTAAAACAAGATGGACGAGTCTCCCTATAACCCGGGTGTAGCCCAGTAATGTGTGTGATCTCCTCTCCTGACAGATGGGGAAGGGCTCCTTTAAGTACGCCTGGGTTCTGGACAAACTGAAGGCCGAGCGGGAGAGAGGGATCACCATCGACATCTCTCTGTGGAAGTTCGAGACCACCAAATACTACATCACCATCATCGATGCTCCCGGACATCGGGACTTTATCAAGAACATGATTACCGGGACATCACAGGTAGGATGGGTGGCTGGATATGTGGATGGGTGGAGGGATCTGTGGGTGGAAGGAGAGATGGATGGGTGGAAGGATGATTGGATAGATAGATAGATAGATAAATAGATAGATAGATTGTTAGACAATGAATGGATGGATGGATGGGTGGGTGGATAGATATGAGATGGATGGATAGATATGACATCGATGGATGGATTGGTGGCTAGTAGGCAGATGAATAGAAGGATAGGTATGAAATAGATGGATGGATGTATAGATATGAGATGGATGGATGACTGGATTGGTAGATAATATGAGAAAGATGGATGGATGGATATGAGATGGATGGATGACTGGATTGGTAGATATGACATAGATGGATGGATGGATAGATATGACATAGATGGATGGATGACTGGATTGGTAGATATGAGAAAGATGGATGGATATGAGATTGATGGATGACTGGATTGGTAGATATGAAATAGATAGATGGATGGATGTATAGATATGAGATGGATGGATGACTGGATTGGTAGATAATATGAGAAAGATGGATGGATGGATATGAGATGGATGGATGACTGGATTGGTAGATATGACATAGATGGATGGATGGATAGATATGACATAGATGGATGGATGACTGGATTGGTAGATATGAGAAAGATGGATGGATGGATATGAGATGGATGGATGACTGGATTGGTAGATATGACATAGATGGATGGATGGATAGATATGAGATAGATGGATGGATTGGTAGATATGAGATGGATTGGTATAAAATAGATGGATGGATTGGTAGATATGACATAGATGGATGGATTGGTAGATATGATATGGATGGATGGAATGGTATAAAATGGATGGATGGATTAGTAGATATGAGATGGATGGATAGGTAGGAAATAGATGGAAGGATAGATATGAGATAGATGGATGAATGAATGGATGGATTGATTGTTAGATATGGGATGGATGGATTGGTATGAAATGGATGGATGGGTAGATATGAGACGGATGGATGAATGGATTGATGGATTGGTAGATATGGGATGGATGGATGTGATAGATATGAGACAGATGGATGGATTGGTATGAAATAGATGGATGTGATAGATAACACTGGATTGACTCAGATATTTCCACTAGATAAACTCTTTCTTTCCTCCCCCTCCAGGCGGACTGTGCGGTACTGATCGTGGCAGCCGGTGTGGGTGAGTTTGAGGCTGGCATCTCCAAGAACGGGCAGACCCGAGAGCATGCCCTGCTGGCGTACACCCTGGGCGTCAAACAGCTCATCGTTGGCATCAACAAAATGGACTCTACCGAGCCACCGTACAGCGAGAAGCGTTATGATGAGATAGTGAAGGAGGTCAGCGCCTACATCAAGAAGATTGGCTACAACCCGTCCACTGTGCCCTTTGTGCCCATCTCTGGATGGCATGGGGACAACATGCTGGAACCATCCCCCAATGTAAGTGACATGACAGACATGGACTCACCCTGCTGGGTAACACTGGGCACTGCACTGGCACAACTCTACTAAAGCTTAATGCATTCATGATTGTCGGGGGTGGCACCTCTATGCACATGTGTACCTCTGCAGCTTTCTATGACGCATGCTTGCTTTCCTCTGTGAGCTGCCTAAGCACCTCCCTCTCCAGCGCCCAGTGCCTGAAACACAGCAGACTGGCAATATCACATTATGCACTACAACTTCCGGCTCTATACCTGACACCAGCAGGTGTACAGACCTGGGAACTCAGCACAGGGATGATGGGAGCTCCTCATAATGAGCACAGCAGGTGTACAGACCCGGGAACTCAGCACAGGGATGGTGGGAGCTCCTCATAATGGGCACAGCAGGTGTACAGACCCGGGAACTCAGCACAGGGATGGTGGGAGCTCCTCATAATGGGCACAGCAGGTGTACAGACCCGGGAACTCAGCACAGGGATGGTGGGAGCTCCTCATAATGGGCACAGCAGGTGTACAGACCCGGGAACTCAGCACAGGGATGGTGGGAGCTCCTCATAATGGGCACAGCAGGTGTACAGACCCGGGAACTCAGCACAGGGATGGTGGGAGCTCCTCATAATGGGCACAGCAGGTGTACAGACCCGGGAACTCAGCACAGGGATGGTGGGAGCTCCTCATAATGGGCACAGCAGGTGTACAGACCCGGGAACTCAGCACAGGGATGGTGGGAGCTCCTCATAATGGGCACAGCAGGTGTACAGACCCGGGAACTCAGCACAGGGATGGTGGGAGCTCCTCATAATGGGCACAGCAGGTGTACAGACCCGGGAACTTAGCACAGGGATGGTGGGAGCCCCTCATAATGGGCACAGCAGGTGTACAGACCCGGGAACTCAGCACAAGGATGGTGGGACCCCCTCATAATGGGCACATCCGGTGTACAGACCCGGGAACTCAGTCCATGGTGGGAAAAGTAAGCTTCGGTTTATCAATCGTTATCGGGGACCTGAGTCATCACTGCTGCCTATCTGGCCCCTCCGCAGACATTGGATCCTATAAAGCCAGTTATAAAAAGACTGAGGCAGTCTGCCAACATGGAGGACTCTGACGAGCAGAACCTCTGCCATCCAAACAAGGCCTTTACATCGCTCATTCAAGGGGCTTTAATAGATTATTACTGTGCTGCCAAAAGAGGGTGGGCATCCCGCAGAGCCAGTGAACTTAAAGAGAGACAATAAAGGGACACTATAGGCACATGGTTCATATGAAGGACTGTATGTAATTGATTAAGGAATCAACATTTTCAGATTATCCGCAGTTAAAGTATATTTAATGGGGAACTGTGTTGATAAGAGTATAAGGGCCGCCATTGCTGACTTGTTTGAAAGGTGAAGTCATCTTGATTCCTTTATTCACATATTTGTGAGTCTCTGACCAGGATAAGTGGTTGGACGTTTTAGAATGTGCTCATTCTTCCAGGTCTAAGACTTACTAGGTAGGCAAGCAATGGTCCAGATGGCCTCCTGGAGACAAGTCAACAGTAGATTGTTGTGGCCGTAGGTTTATTTTAAAGTTCACTATTGTCACTATTACATGCCTGGTATTGGCAGTTGAGAAGGTCTGTTTCCCCGACTCTGATGGTGGAACAAGACAGAGGAACTAGAGAGAGGGCAGGAAGCCCTAGTATGGCTGGAACTTGAGGGACACCTGGAGCGGCAGGAGTAGGATGAATCCAAAAAGCAGATTATTGTGGAGTACATTGAAGACTTTTTCTGCACCAGAGACATTGGTGGTGAGGTTAGGGTTTGCTACATGGTTACTCCTTGACCATGACCTCCAAGGTGGCTCCACTGAAGACCATCTTACCCAAGAGGTGTTCTAGTCACCACAGAAGAACCTTAATAAAGAGTGCCAGGAGTAAGATGAATCCATAAAGCAGGTTATTGTGGAGTACCTTGAAGACTTGTTCTCAACAAAGACATTGGTGGGGAGGTTAGGGTTTACTTCATGGTAACTGCTAGACCATGACCCCCAAGGTGGCTCCACTGAAGACCATCATACCCAAGAGGTGTTCTAGTCACCACAGAAGAACCTTAAAAAGTGTGCCAGACTAGCATGAATCTATAAAGCATTATTGTGGAGTACCTGGAAGACTTGTTCTTCACCAGAGACAGTGGTGGTGAGGTTAGGGTTTTCTGCATGGTAACCACTAGACCATGACCCCCAAGGTGGCTCCACTGAAGACCATCATACCCAAGAGGTGTTCTAGTCACCACAGAAGAACCTTCATAAATATCTGATAAAGGAGGTCTTAATTGCATGAGACAGAATCAGAGTAGGAGGCAGCTGGGCTTAGTCATGAATTGGCAGTTGCCAGCTGAGACACTGAAACAGAAGACATGCGTCAGGATTTAGTCATGCCAGTGGGCTCTACCCTGCCAGCTCATGTGCACCGGCTATCAGTGATGGAGCAGATCCGAACAGCCTATCATTAAGTGTTGGCAGCCAATGTACCCTCTTGGATCACAAGCAGGTGCCCTCAGTTGCTCAATCATATTTTTGGCCATCATCTTAAGTGCCGTGAGAACTCCACGACACTTCACTATACAAATCTTGACTTATGATGAGAAAGTCAAGGGCAGGGAAACCAATCCCCACCCCACCCCACCCCAACCTCCTGCAGCTCCTTATTGGTTCAAGCTAACAGGGAAAGATGAAACACTATTTAGTGAGAAATATTTAGGCAAAGGACACAGAAAATAGCCCATTAAACCAAATGGTGCTTAGTTTACTGTACTATGTTTGCTTAATGCTAACACCTGAAAAGACCAAAACAGGCATTTTGAAGTTGGAGGAAAATGTTGGTCTGATCTAAATATGTTTGGTGCTTATTATTAGCACCTTTTATATACATAGCTATATGTTGTTGGGGCTTGCCTTTTGTGTTTCTTGCTGGGACAAAACATTAGCTGTGTGTAGGAAGTGACCTCCTTAAACAATTATCCAACAAGACTTAACTACTGTTAACACCTGAAACTTTTTAGAACTTTTATGTTGTATTCATCTATTAAGATTTCTCATCCTTTGATCGATTTCTGCTCTTTGTTTGTTTCTTCTGTTCCTCTTGGTTCTGTAGATGCCTTGGTTCAAGGGATGGAAGGTGGAGAGGAAGGAAGGCAATGCCAATGGCGTTTCTCTCCTAGAAGCTTTGGATACAATCCTGCCCCCGTCTCGCCCCACAGACAAGCCTCTCAGACTGCCCCTCCAGGATGTCTACAAGATTGGAGGTAAGCAGAACTATAGCAGCTCAATTCCAAAGCAGGGTTCCTGTAGGAGAGCTGTGATGTGAGATAGGAGGACAGCTCAACCACAACCCACACCGCCCAACCACACATTGGCTACATATAACCATAGGAACTTTGGTGGCCATCAGCATTAGAGGGTGGTCAGACATTAAGGCTCAAATTGGCCATTTTCAGGGCAGGACATCTAAGGACGGATTGTGTTATGTTGGCCTTATACACTAAAATCTTATTGTACAAGCTCCATACAGCCTTCCTTAGACTTATCAATAACTATTTAACTTGAGGGCTTATTTAACTATTATTGTACCAACAGGGCCTACCAAATGAGGGCCTACCAAATGAGGGTCTACCAAATGAGGGCCTACCTAAACAATCTGTTGTATCCAATCAGCAGGCCATTGGACTACTTGGTTCTTAAATATATCTAAAGGAGATCATACAGATATAGTGGAATGTGTCCTACATGGGCAGCCCACATGTAGTTTTGGAAAGAGTGGCGAGGGGTCATTGTCACTACTGGTGGCCATTGTCATTGGAACTGTAAGTGACAGAATATCCAAAAATCTCAGTTCTCACCAAAACAGGAATAGAGGGGAAGTCTTTCAATGGGGATACTTGTTGTTTATGACAATTAAGAGGGAATTTTACTCAATTTAGAGATATTCCCTCTCACTTCCTGGTTTGTACCCAAAAATTGTTTGGCTAGAGATACACATCAAAAAGTACAAGAAAGGTGGTAGCCAGTTTAATGGTTTTACTCTCCTCTAGGATGGTCATGTGACTACAGAGCAGATGGTAGTAGCTGGATAAATTGGAGGGATACAGACATATGGTGGTTCATCAGATTAATTGTAATACAGGGTAGCGATGTGACTGGTCCCTAAATTTAGTTGCACGCTCAACCAAGCTCCTTGCTATTAGTCCTTCTTAGCTGGTATTTCTGTGTTTGCTGGACAAAGGTTTCGCTATGCCCTGCAGGTATTGGCACAGTTCCCGTGGGCCGGGTAGAGACTGGCATCTTGAAACCCGGCATGGTGGTGACCTTTGCCCCCGTGAACATCACCACTGAGGTAAAGTCTGTCGAGATGCACCATGAGGCCCTCAGCGAGGCTCTGCCCGGCGACAACGTTGGCTTCAACGTCAAGAACGTGTCCGTGAAGGACATCCGCCGCGGCAACGTGTGCGGGGACAGCAAGTCCGACCCACCTCAGGAGGCTGCCCAGTTCACCTCTCAGGTCTGTAAACCGTCTTGAAAGCATCCCCATTGAGCTGCTGAAAAAAACAAAACGTTCTGCTGTATTCACATTTACAAAGACCAGCTCTGCCAAAAACAGATTTGTATGGAGTTGGGCACACACTGATCCCCTACTGAAGCCTCATTGGTGCTCCCATCCCTACACCTAGAGGAACCTTGAACTGGCTGAGATCTGAGCTGAAGGCTAAGTTGTATTTGGCCTCCATGCATTCCTATGGAGCTCAGTAATATTGTGTCATGCACCCTCTAGTGGAGTCTAGACTAATGAGGATGGAGATAACCTCCCCATGATTTCTGGAGACCTGTAACAAGCCGTTGAGGGAACAAAATCACTGAAATAATGTTTCAGTGGCACGCCATGGTTTCATGTCAAGACTTCCCCATTCAGTCTTGTTTTGTCCCTTTTTTCCCCTACCCCACCTACAGCTGCCTTTGTCTCCTCCTATGCAGGTGATCATCCTGAACCACCCAGGCCAGATTAGTGCCGGATACTCCCCCGTGATTGACTGCCACACCGCTCACATCGCCTGCAAGTTCGCAGAGCTGAAGGAAAAGATCGACCGCCGTTCCGGTAAGAAACTAGAGGACAACCCCAAGGCTCTGAAATCTGGAGATGCCGCCATCGTAGAGATGATTCCTGGAAAGCCCATGTGTGTGGAGAGCTTCTCCCAGTACCCTCCTCTTGGTGAGTAGCTGCCATGTACACAGTCTAGATATTGGGGTACCATTGTGTTTGGGAAGGGCCTCATTTAAAGGGAAGAGGTCACTAATACATTTTTAATGAATTGGTAGGCCTTAATGGCTATATTATGCTTGGGGGTCACCAAGGGCTTTGTGTCATAAAGCCAGGCAATGCCATCTTCACAAATCTTGGCCACGGGTCATATCTGGGTTTCGGGGGTTCTCTGCTCCGCTGTGGTGTCCTTTGTTCTCCGCTTTGCCTGGATGTAAAGATGACATCATCCGATGACCTCATCTGATAACAAGGGATGGGAGTCTTGCCATGCAAGGTTGCAGTTCTTCTTTAAGATGGTGACCCTACACCTCTGGTTCCCCAAACTGCTGCCTGAGGGCTACATGCGGCCATTGGGTACTTGCTGTGCTGCCTTTAGACCCCCGCCGTCTAGTCGGCATAGAAGGACTGATTTATAAAGGGGCAATAATCTCTAGACGTTTCATGTACATGTTTCCTGTCTCTGACTGTCTCCATTCTTCATCCATACCTTCAGAACCTCCACAGCTTCTGACCATCTCCTGTAATATGTCCACAGCCTCTGACAGTCTTCTTTTACATTAGAAATACTGAATATTATGTGCGGCCCATTGGTTATGTCAGAGGCTCTTAATACTCCGTACATTATCCACCTTTATCCTGTACAGTAGAGGATTTAGGTGCCTGATTCCCAAACACATTGAATGAAAGACAGTGCAGGCATCAGGAAGCAGACTAGCCCACCCCACAAGTGAAGAACCTTCTGTCCAGGGGTGGCCAGAGGAAGGCAACAACATTAAGAACATAAAATGTTATCAAATTTGTATATTTTGAGGCTTGGGCCTTTAATTCTGCTGCCCTAGGCACCACCCATGAGGAACATTATGTGGCCTTGCTGACTTAGGCACCGCCCACGAGGGGCTATTATGTGAGCTTCAAAAATAGTCAGGACTTCAAAATTAGGGGCGCAAGTTACATGTCTCATACATGAATATCTCTAGCTGAGTGCTGACAGGCTCCTCCCCACCGTCTCTCCTCCAGGGCGTTTTGCCGTACGGGACATGAGGCAGACTGTGGCTGTCGGGGTCATCAAGAACGTGGAGAAGAAGAGCGGCGGCGCCGGCAAGGTCACCAAGTCCGCCCAGAAGGCCCAGAAGGCTGGCAAATGAATTGCAGGCCCCTTGCGCATGGCACACAAGCCCTGCCCCTCCGAGAGGGTCCGCCCCCTTACCTTTGAGGCGCACGCCAGCCCATCGGCTTGTAAAAGCCTATACGTCAACGACTGGATGCTTACGATTAAAGTCCAATGGAAGTTCTTCAAGAGGAAAAGCATGCCCCACCGTGTGACCCCCTAGTGTCCATTTTACCAATAAAACCGGTTCAACATCATTAAATCCGGCTCCTGGTTTTCCTTCGCTGAGGCGTTCCGCCATTATAGCCTTGATCTGGTATGAAACACTCTCTTAGATTGGGCAGGGAAGGGTTAGAAACTCTGTCTTTGTCCTCCCTGGAGAGGATTTTTCTTACTTCCTGTCTGAGTGACACTGAAACAGGAAGTAAGAGGAAATCTAAGATCTTTCTAGAAGGGATGCAGATGGCAATTAAAAATAGAAAGGAGAAGGTAGAACCCCGGTCCATTTTTTTTATTATTTGCTATCTTTTTTTCTACTGACAAAGATTGCCCCACTTCCTGTTTAAGTGACACTAGTGCGTGACACAGGAAGTAATGGTATATAATGATGAGCTCAGGATTGAATATGTCCGAACGTCGGAAGGAATATTTCCTCAGTCTCCTCTCCCCCAGTGATCAGTCTGCTGCATGCAGGGGAAGCATTCCCTCACCCCAGTGATCAGTCTGTTGCATGCAGGGGAAGCATTTCCTCTCCCCCGGTGATCAGTCTGTGGCATGCACGATAAGCATTTCCTCAGTCTCCCCTCCCCCAGGGATCAGTCTGCAACATTGTAGTAAGTCACAAGGTGAGAGGCTGCAGCAGGGCTTGATCTGTGTCAGACTTTTGTGAACACAGTCTGAGGACCCTGGATGATGCCTGGACAGAGATGGCTCGGGCCTTCTGGAGAGAGAAAGCAGATTGTCAGGGTGAGTACTGAGATCTCTCTGAGAGATAACACATTCCTGGAAGTGTTGGACTTAAACATTACTCATCAGGTTGCCCATATCTGTTCCAAGTTGCCCTTACCAAGAGAATCTGATGACAGGTCCACTTTAACTAAAGGATTATCATAGAAGGCTTACAATCTTACCCAGTGACCTCAGTCATCAATGCTCCCTGTCATTACTGTGTCGTTATTTGTAAAGTTCATGAATACAAAATATACAAAATATCCTTTTATATATATTTGTAAATATTAAAAGAAAACAAAACCGACCAGAAACATCATAAAGAATAATAATAATCATGTGACCTCATTCATTCCAATGAATACAAATATTGTATAGATCAGAGCCACCGTGATTGCAGTAATGGCTGGGACATAAAATTGGGGCGATAAAATGTGGGCGTGGCCAATGGTGACACATTGACTTCCTGTCACCGTCCAGACTGTGTAGGAATCCAGGAAGTGACAGACAATGCTGGGCACTCTTCACTCCCTACTGGCAGGAGAAGTCGAATTCAGAGGAGCAACTGTCACCAACTCAGCCAATAGGGTGACCCCCAAAATCTGACTCCTCCAAGTTTAGTCAAAACGGGGTGATGGACCTGTGATTGAAGTATGGATGTACATTATAAAGAGGACCGGTCACTCTATAATACCTTGTAGATCCAACACTGCTCCCCACTGCACTTAGACCCCATTCACACCTAGCGACATACCTTTTGCAGCGGATCCGCACGGCCAGGATAGCGCGACTTTCGGGGCGACGTTCCAGCGACGGTAGCGCGACCTTCCCCGTCGGGCTCCATAGAAAAAAAGCAAAATCGCGCAAAATCCGCCGAAAAAAGGGTCCGGTAGAAGCGACGCGCGACCGCGACGAGCGACGCGCGACATGGAGTTAAGACAGCTCCATTGAATAACATTGGCCGGCGACTTCTCGCAATATCGCGCGGCAAAAATGCGCGATATCGCGCCGGAAATCGCGCGACAATTCGCTATATGTGAACGGGGCCTTAAGGTGGCCATACACTGTACAACCATCGCAAGACCTTAGTCTTGCGATAGTTGTAAAGTGATTTAAAAAAACGTACGATCTGCCCATCTTGGACAGGCTGATCGCACTCTCGATCATCGCAAGCCCGGCCCCCTGAGGGGCGGGCTTGCGATGACCGCAATGCTGAACGGGCGTGCGGACACCGGTCCATTCAGCATTTGTCTCCTGAGCACTGTTCAAACCAGCCGAAAATCGTACGATTCTCGGCTGGTTTTCTAACATGCTCCTTAGACAAAAGACGTGCGACCGTACAGTAGAAACGGTCGCACATCTCCGTTCACACTGCTCGATTCTCGTACGATCGCGGGATTTCCCGCGATTCTCGTACGAGAATCGAGCAGTGTATGGGCACCTTAAGATATAAATCTTTATTGGTGCAGCTTCTCTGTGCAGGTGAAACATTGGAACTCACTCCAGCTCAAGATCCCTCAATGACCAGCACATACCTCTCTACAGGTGAGACAGATCCATAAATATCACATTGCTGAGATCTCTGCACTGAGTTCCCGGGTCTGTACATCTGCTGTGCCCATTATGAGGGGCTCCCACACTCAGCACAGGGATGGTGGGAGCCCTTCATAATGGGCACAGCAGGTGTACAGAGCCAGGAACTCAGCTCAGGGATGGTGGGAGCCCTTCATAATGGGCACAGCAGGTGTACAGAGCCAGGAACTCAGCTCAGGGATGGTGGGAGCCCTTCATAATGGGCACAGCAGGTGTACAGAGCCAGGAACTCAGCTCAGGGATGGTGGGAGCCCTTCATAATGGGCACAGCAGGTGTACAGAGCCAGGAACTCAGCTCAGGGATGGTGGGAGCCCTTCATAATGGGCACAGCAGGTGTACAGAGCCAGGAACTCAGCTCAGGGATGGTGGGAGCCCTTCATAATGGGCACAGCAGGTGTACAGAGCCAGGAACTCAGCTCAGGGATGGTGGGAGCCCTTCATAATGGGCACAGCAGGTGTACAGAGCCAGGAACTCAGCTCAGGGATGGTGGGAGCCCTTCATAATGGGCACAGCAGGTGTACAGAGCCAGGAACTCAGCTCAGGGATGGTGGGAGCCCTTCATAATGGGCACAGCAGGTGTACAGAGCCAGGAACTCAGCTCAGGGATGGTGGGAGCCCTTCATAATGGGCACAGCAGGTGTACAGAGCCAGGAACTCAGCTCAGGGATGGTGGGAGCCCTTCATAATGGGCACAGCAGGTGTACAGAGCCAGGAACTCAGCTCAGGGATGGTGGGAGCCCTTCATAATGGGCACAGCAGGTGTACAGAGCCAGGAACTCAGCTCAGGGATGGTGGGAGCCCTTCATAATGGGCACAGCAGGTGTACAGAGCCAGGAACTCAGCTCAGGGATGGTGGGAGCCCTTCATAATGGGCACAGCAGGTGTACAGAGCCAGGAACTCAGCTCAGGGATGGTGGGAGCCCTTCATAATGGGCACAGCAGGTGTACAGAGCCAGGAACTCAGCTCAGGGATGGTGGGAGCCCTTCATAATGGGCACAGCAGGTGTACAGAGCCAGGAACTCAGCTCAGGGATGGTGGGAGCCCTTCATAATGGGCACAGCAGGTGTACAGAGCCAGGAACTCAGCTCAGGGATGGTGGGAGCCCTTCATAATGGGCACAGCAGGTGTACAGAGCCAGGAACTCAGCTCAGGGATGGTGGGAGCCCTTCATAATGGGCACAGCAGGTGTACAGAGCCAGGAACTCAGCTCAGGGATGGTGGGAGCCCTTCATAATGGGCACAGCAGGTGTACAGAGCCAGGAACTCAGCTCAGGGATGGTGGGAGCCCTTCATAATGGGCACAGCAGGTGTACAGAGCCAGGAACTCAGCTCAGGGATGGTGGGAGCCCTTCATAATGGGCACAGCAGGTGTACAGAGCCAGGAACTCAGCTCAGGGATGGTGGGAGCCCTTCATAATGGGCACAGCAGGTGTACAGAGCCAGGAACTCAGCTCAGGGATGGTGGGAGCCCTTCATAATGGGCACAGCAGGTGTACAGAGCCAGGAACTCAGCTCAGGGATGGTGGGAGCCCTTCATAATGGGCACAGCAGGTGTACAGAGCCAGGAACTCAGCTCAGGGATGGTGGGAGCCCTTCATAATGGGCACAGCAGGTGTACAGAGCCAGGAACTCAGCTCAGGGATGGTGGGAGCCCTTCATAATGGGCACAGCAGGTGTACAGAGCCAGGAACTCAGCTCAGGGATGGTGGGAGCCCTTCATAATGGGCACAGCAGGTGTACAGAGCCAGGAACTCAGCTCAGGGATGGTGGGAGCCCTTCATAATGGGCACAGCAGGTGTACAGAGCCAGGAACTCAGCTCAGGGATGGTGGGAGCCCTTCATAATGGGCACAGCAGGTGTACAGAGCCAGGAACTCAGCTCAGGGATGGTGGGAGCCCTTCATAATGGGCACAGCAGGTGTACAGAGCCAGGAACTCAGCTCAGGGATGGTGGGAGCCCTTCATAATGGGCACAGCAGGTGTACAGAGCCAGGAACTCAGCTCAGGGATGGTGGGAGCCCTTCATAATGGGCACAGCAGGTGTACAGAGCCAGGAACTCAGCTCAGGGATGGTGGGAGCCCTTCATAATGGGCACAGCAGGTGTACAGAGCCAGGAACTCAGCTCAGGGATGGTGGGAGCCCTTCATAATGGGCACAGCAGGTGTACAGAGCCAGGAACTCAGCTCAGGGATGGTGGGAGCCCTTCATAATGGGCACAGCAGGCGGACAGACCCGGGAACTCAGTGCAGAGATCTCAGCAATGTGATATTTATGGATCTGTCTCACCTGTAGAGAGGTATGTGCTGGTCATTGAGGGATCTTGAGCTGGAGTGAGTTCCAATGTTTCACCTGCACAGAGAAGCTGCACCAATAAAGATTTATATCTTAAGGTGCCCATACACTGCTCGATTCTCGTACGATCGCGGGATTTCCCGCGATTCTCGTACGAGAATCGAGCAGTGTATGGGCACCTTAAGATATAAATCTTTATTGGTGCAGCTTCTCTGTGCAGGTGAAACATTGGAACTCACTCCAGCTCAAGATCCCTCAATGACCAGCACATACCTCTCTACAGGTGAGACAGATCCATAAATATCACATTGCTGAGATCTCTGCACTGAGTTCCCGGGTCTGTACACCTGCTGTGCCCATTATGAGGGCACAGCAGGTGCCGCCTCCATCTCCAAATCCCAGTTCTATTGTACTGCCTGGACAATG